ATTCATTTTCATGGTATAATTATTTTAATCAAGCATGGATGAGTCTTTTCCTGTTTTTTTTTTTAAATTTTGAGTAGATTTTTGGGATTTTTCGAACATTTTTCAACTTCAAACTTCAAAGAGTTTCATATTTTCTGGGTTTCCGCTGCAACATCAATGGTTAGCATTCATTTTTACTGTAAACTGGGCACTTTGGTTGTCATTTTTGCGGATGCCACAATAATGCTAACATGCAAGAACACCAAATATGAGCAAGAGACCACTGCAGGAACCAACAAGAACGACCATTTCTTCCTGCAGGCACCATAGACCATTACTAGCTTCAGAGCCCACAAATGCGCGGTGTCTCTTTTATCATCGTGTTTGGCTTCGTGCAGCAAACCGATCGATCTCCATGGTGGATTAAAGGGAGTTGATCAAGGCCTGAGAAGCCATTTACTGCAAACAAGCTCCCATTTATGCTCTACATCGTTGGTCCATTTGCTTTTGAACCTAAATGTTACTAGAAAACTAGCACTGTTCTCCATTGTTGTGCTTCATGTGTTACTATTGCATTTGCAAGTTTCCTTAGCTTATTATTGTAATGTCCATAGATTATTACAGAATAATTTTCGAAGAAGAAGAAAAAGACACGTGGGGTTTGGATTTTGATTTTTTTTATTTTAATTTTTTAATTGCCATTTCAGAATTTCATTAAGGGGTTAACGGAAGCTAATAATAGAGGGACTTAAATTAGACAAATAGATAACGTTAGGAACTTACACTGGACGGATCGATAACGTTAGGGACCATTTACCCTTAATTTTTAAAATAGTGACCAACGTCTATTAGATCGAAAATAAAGGGGACTATTTGCATAGTTTACCCTTTAACATAATCTCATTATCTTAAATTATTATTGAGAGTAATAACCACAATCATTCTTTTTCATTCTTAGTTTACGAACCTATAGGTTCAATTAATATTGGTAGTAGATAAAATTACATTTGATACTACAAGTCATAAGTGGCCTCTAGCAAGACATTATGACTACCAAGTTAAATGAAAAGCTCTTGATCCGACACAACCTTAACGCAACTCATGTCATAATCCTTTTATCTCACGATATCTTGATAGAATATAATGCATGAAAAATGTCAACCTTATATCGCTTTATCTTCAATTTCTCAATACTCAATTGAAATGACTAAACAAATGACATTAATCTCTATCAACTCATTTGAACACGATAATGCATATTTCATTCTCAATCATCGAATGGCCCTGAGATATCTGCCTTATGATAAAAGGGATAAATTTCATCTTAATCATTCACATCTCATTACATGATTCTTGTTATGTTCAAGAACAACCTTTATAATTGTTCGATTAAAGACAACGTTTGACTATATCAAAACATAATAATCACCATGTTTAGAATCATAATAATTTCAGGTCTAAGGATATTTTGACATAACTGTTTAGTATATGACATTGATCCATATATTAATCTCAAAACGAGTCGATCCAATATTTATTCTCAACAAATCTATATGAATTTGATTTAAATCTCATTCACATATGTATCCCATGAATATCTATCAAACTTCATACCAATCCTATTTTATTATCATTCCCACAATAATAATCAGTTAGAGATATTTACAATAATTAACAATAAAATTCAAGGATATTAATATATATAGAAGGTATGCATAAAAATAATCCAATAATCAAAATGCAATGTTCATATAATAGGCCAACGACACTCTTGCTAACATTTGAACTCTAAAACAAAACACTATCAACTAATCACCCACCACCATTAATCGTTGGTGTTTGTCGCGATAAAATCACCAAGATCAGACCTTTAAGGTCCCTTAAACACAGATTTGTGATTCGATTTCCTTAAATCGCAATCGAATACCATAGATCTACGTTGGGATCCTCAGCTTCCATGAACTAAAACTCATTCGATATTCTCCAATGACTGTTTAATGGAGCTGCCTTCGAGATTTATGCTTCATGTTGTCGAAGGGAGTATTCCAATCATTTGGATCTCCCAAAAGCTACCTAGATCACCTCGAAATGAAAACCCATTCTCGTCTAACATTTTTCGATTTCTTTTCTTGAATTCCTTTGATTTCTTATTAGTACTGTTAACGTTCTGTTAACATTGTTGTTGCTAGGTGAAGGCCTACTGAGGGCATCTTGGTTGCTGCTTGGAATAGTTGATCGCTGGCTGCTATCTTTCTGGCTCACCACAGGCTGAGATGGTTTTGGGTTGGTGGCTTGCCGAGGGTTGGGCTGTATGAAAACTGGGCTGCTGGTTGGTGTTATAGATTTAAATTACGTTTCCACTCGTGTTATAAGTTACGTTGTATTTATTGCAGTTGCAAACATAATATATGTCATTCTTGTCACTATGAGTATTTCTACAACAGATTATTGGATTTTTTTTCATTTTAAGATAACAGAACAATAACGAAAATAACAACCTGCTATTACTGTAATTTGTTGTTACCCGTTAAATTAAGTTGTGATCTATCGCTATTGGTATAATTTTACTTTACACTGTTATTTTTAACAATAATAGTTTTCAACGATGTCAGTATCATTATATAGCGGTCATTATTCTACTATTTGACTGCTATTTAAATCTCTAGTTGGTGTATGCTCACACACATAAATTGAGTCATTGTTCTGGTGCTGGAATAGGACCTATGATTCACGGGTTTGCGTCGACAAATAATAGGTTGGGCAGTCAAATGAAACGAGTTAGATTTGTAAAACGGGTCAATTTAGATTGATTTCTCATTTGCTCAACTAAAAACTTTCAAGGATTTCATTCCCAAAATTTGCTTTCACATCACATATATTAAAATACATTTTATATATATCTTTGAACTATAAAATGAATTACATATAAGATAAATTATCTTGATTTACTAACTCGATATTCGAAAATAATTCTCAAAACATTTGCTTGTTATTTAAAAATAAATAAATACGAGACATATATATTATTTCATAATTTATCTAATATCAAATTCAAAAATATGATTTCTAGCAAATCGATGGATTAATTCAAAACCCAAAATCAATTAATATTTTAAAAATAAGAATTTACTAGATAAAATCTAATTTGATAGGTTCTATTCAGGCATCGAAACTTGGGTATTACAACTTTCTCCTTAAGAAAAATTCATCCTCGAATTTTCTTCAGATTAAAATAAATACAAATATGACCGACGTATTACACCATCGATTTCCTTTTCACAACACAGATCACAATCTTTTCGATTCTCGTACTAGATGCTAAGAATTTAATTTCATCACCGTGGATCTCATAGTTATGAACGAATTGAAACGATACTCAATAATCACCAAACTTATTGGTTCACGCTTGAAACAAATTTTTCGTAGAACTTTCAATTTAAGAAAAATAATCAAACTACCGAACTTCACGTTAATGTGATCGAATAGAATGAGTAACATTTTTAGAAATACACTTGAATAAATCATTTTTGAATATTCACCAAATTATCAAAGAAGCATGATGTTGGAGTCACCAAAATTTGAGGGTTTTCACTTTCCATGATAAAAGTTCAACAATTCACAAGAGACAGAGATTTTGGTTTCAATTTTTATCGAATTGAGATAACACAAAATCTATGGTTTACGAATTATACACTTCAACTGTACTTTCGATCAAATGATATTTCCATAGAAACAAAAATGATGACATAATTGAATGTTTCAAAAATTTAAAAATAACATAAGACGAAAATGACATTCATAGGAATTTCCTTTAAAGACGCTGGAAGTAACATTCATCGAAATCATCGGAAGTAAACACTTGGTTGAATTATCTAATTAACTAAAAATTTGACCCCAAAAGAAATTCAGTGAGATATCTGAATGATTAATGAAATACAATTTAAAGGACTTAAATTCATAAATATGAGTTTTTAGGATTTCGAACTATCATAATCTCAGATCGAATGATTTATTCTTTAACGTACACATAGGTTATCATAATACTGGCTCTTTCAAGAAGAGCCAGGAGTTTTGCACTCCTCGAGAAATCCTCAAGAGCTTTGCACTCCTCAAGAAGTTTCAACCCTTTAACATGATCTATGGATGGTTCATGTAATTCGCTAGTCATACTCAATTGACAAATGATCACATCAATCAAGCATGCCAACTTACACGTAATCATAATAATTCTACGCGTGACACTCACATTAATAATCACTATAAAATCTTTCGGCCAATACTAGAAGAATGATCTATAACCATTCGACCGTTCTCCACATATTTTTCTCCCCTCTTTTCTCATGAAAACAAAAGATTCAAATACCAACTATCATATAATCATCGATTATAACTCTCTTTCCAAATCAAAAAGAGTGAATCGAATAACCGATACAACCCGTTTGATTCTATCAACAAGTAAGTACTAGTAGTGGTTAAACTTAAAAAGTCTAGAAATGAAATCACATTTTATATAATAAAATAATTGTTTATATCCGATAATAAAATTATCCATATAAATTTTCTTTTAATTTGTCGCATTATCAAGTTTTTATTATAGTGGTAATTAATAGAATGATAATAAATAAAAGGGTAAACTATGCGTTTAATATTTAAACTATCTATTTTGATCCGTTTTAATACTTAAATTTTAAAATTAAGTTTTTAATATGGTACTAAAATAAAATAAAAATTAAACATTATTTATGATTTAAAAAACTTAAAAGCTTAAATATTAAAATAAACTAAAATTGATAATTTAAACAATAAATACATAGTTTACCCTAAATAAAATAAAACCTTTCCAAAAATTGTTGTGATCGGAATAACTTTAACTAAAACGAAGTATCGAAAGTGCCCCCAAATTCAAAACCCTAAAGCTTCGCACAATCTCATCCCTACACGTTCACACGAATTGGATATGGAAATGGTATCGGTGGAATCCTAAAAATATCCCTCCTCCCTGAAACCTGAACGGAACTCTAATGGAATCCCCTCCGATAACGATATCGGATGGCCTTCCCACTTCCCGCAAGCGTCTCCTCTCCAACTGCGCGAAGCCCAAATCGCCGTTATCGTTGCATCAACCTCCCCTTAAAAAGACACGGGGACTCCCCAACTTAACCGAATGCCAAGCCTGTGGATTTCGAAGTGACAACGCCAGCTGCAAAAATCCGATTCAAACGCTTTACAGCGAGTGGCGCATTGTTCTTCTGTGCCCAAAATGTTATAATCGTGTTGACTCATCTCAAATATGCGCTTATTGTTTCAAAGAAGCCTCCGAAGATTGCTTTTCTTGTGCTCAATGTAAGCGTTCCCTTCACAAAACATGCTTTTTAGATTACAAATCTGTTCCGCCGTGGTCATACTCTGTTTGTGGTTTGGAATTTACTGTTTGCATTGATTGTTGGGTACCTGAAAAGATTACCCGCAAAAGGGGGATCTTTTGGCGCAAAAAAATGCTAAGATTTCTAGGGTTAATGAAGTTGAGAATGTTGGGGTGGCAAAGTTGTTAGAAGATGTGGTGAAAGATGCAAATTCTGCAATGGGAGAGAGAGTTGAGGCTGCGGTTGAGGCAAGGGGAATGGCTGTTAACAAAGCTGATGTGGCTCACCAGGTGTTTGAATTTACAAACATTGAATTGGAAAAGTGTGATGATGCTGAATTAGCATTTCGGATGCATAAAGCCATGAATAGTTCGCCTAGGATATCGAAAAATAGAAATTTATCTGATAATAATAGGTTAGATACTTTGATTGCCGGTAGTAGTAGGACTTTCAATTGTTTGAAACCTACGGAGATAGTCTATGTCCGACGTAGAAAGAAACCAGATGAGATGGAACCGAGGGATGTAATTTATGCTAGCCATAAAAAGAAACCAGTGCAGATAGTTTATACTCGGCGTAGGAAGAAAGCATGTGAGATAGTTAATGAACAGTGTAGACAAAAACATAATGAAATGGCTTATGTGCGACGTGGAAAAAAACTATATGATTTAGTTTATAAACGACGTAGTAAGCAAAATGACAGCAAGGAAAAATCTGATGTTGAAACAGGACCGAAGGAGAGAGAAGACGGATACTCTAATTTGTTGTCAAAAAGTGGGGTTGATACTAACATGAACTCTGAGTCTAAAGCTTATAGTTACCAAGATGACTCTATTGTCTTTGATAATATGCAGTCTGATGGGAAGCTTGTGCTATATTTGTTAGCATACAGCAGGAAGAAATCAAAGTGAAAGGGAACTCCAGCAAAACTGAGTTCCTTTATGATGGATATAACTGTGAAAGTCAGGCTTCATCTTCCCAACTGCCATAATCTTTAATGATAGAGTAATACACTCCAATGTTCAGCTTTTCCTCATTGAGTCAGAGCTGCAAGTTACTCATGTCAAGATACCCCTAGACTGACAAGGTAATAAAATGTTTTTCCTTGCCATTCTTTTATTAATTAATTTCTTTTTTCTTTGTTGTTGATTGTCAAAATATTCTCACATTTCAGTTGCAATGGAAATTTGCATAGCTGCCTTCCCTGTCTTCTGATTTTACTTTTTTATTACTCATCACAGCATTGTTTTCCTGGTGTTGGGTTGTGGATTATTTGTCTGGATCTCTGGGATGCTTTAGTATTCCTAGCACTGCTTGGTGTCCTTGATAATAGTTTATTATCATTATTTGCACCAGTGGAGGAAAAGTGCTGCTTACGTGGGTCAGTTAGCTTTTGGAGTCTTGTGGTTGCTATTTAAAACACCTTCCAGTGGTGGGAATATTCACATATTGGAGGGGTAAGCCTAATCTTTGTGTCTCCTTCCTGTGATTTGGAGTTGTATTTTCAGATAAATCTTGTTAGTTTTGTTCATCTGGCAGTTTCTAGGAAAGGGGGAAGGAAAAAATCTTCAAAATTAATGGAAAATGAAAGTAGAGATCCTCAGTCTAACCATGGATTTGTGGAATGAAGGGATGTGCATCATGAGATTTAACATCCAAGTCCTCTACATCTAAAATAAGTGTTTGTGCTAGCCTGAGTTTACATGGTTAAATGATTACTGTGTAATTTTGAGTAAAGTTAGGTTTTGATCTTAGAATATTTTAATTTTCTTAATACGTTGAGCAAAGTTCTCATTTTTATGGTGAAATGATTCTCTTATACTTTGTGTTGTATTCTATTGAATTAGTTCATTGATTTCTTTGTGTAGTAATTCTACCAATGATGATCCTTGGTTAATTGACAAAAGCTAAATTGGATCAAATCCTTGCATGGTTATAGCCATTTGAAGGTGATTTACTTGTTGCTAAAAGCACTTGATAAGATTCTGTCATGGACTATTGTCCCCTGAAGAGTGAAGACTATGTAGTCCTTGCAAAATGGGCAAGGTATGTTTACTTTTTTAACACTTATGTAAAGAGCTTAAATGTGAGGGTTGCCTCTTTTTTTCTTCGCTATCGAAAATTTGCAATTTTGTAGTTGTTCACCGGTGCTTGATAAGAGGCCAATTTTTTGCAAGGACAAGGATCAAGATCTTGGCCGACAATCAGGAAAGCAAGGTGTTGAAAGTGGTGATATCAAGCAAAAGAGTTGGACTATATCTTGAAGAGCCTTGGCGGTTAGGCAAGATCATGACTTAGTAATGGCCAATTTCCGGTTCATCTTGACTAAACTTTTTTGGGTCAAATTTTAAAGTTATATAATTGTTCAGATTTATATTAGATGAAGCTTCTTGGAAATCGACTATAGAAGCCTTTGTCCCATTGGATGTGCTTAGAGTAATAAGGGTTTGCTTTGACATGGAAGTATGGAACTAATTTCAAGTGGTCACTTTTTCCAAATTTATCTGTTTCACAACTCCCATAAAATGTTTTCCTGAGATCGGATAACATGCTAGCATTTGGAATATTTTCTTTGAATACCATTGAATGTGAATATGAAGTCTTATTTGGTGCCATTCACAGTGTTTCCAGTGCCAATTTTACCGAATCGTTTTTTCCCAGTGACGCGGAGGTCATTGGTGCTCTCTATCGGTTGGTAAGATGTGCTTTGTTGGTTTGGCATTTTGACAACAAAGGGGACATATATATTGTAAGGGACGTTTGGTTCACAGAATGGAAGATTACCTTTAGGGTGCGTTTGGATCATGGAATGTAGCATTACCTTTAAGAATAGGATTGCTGGAATTTAACATTATCTAATACATTACTAAAAATGTTGTATTGTTGTATTGTTGTGTTTAGCAAGAATGTAAGATTATAGTATTTAGTTAAATGAATAAAAGATTAATGAAATGTATATTTTATTAAATTGTCCTTATTATATATTTGTTTTTTAACAAGTTGAATTCTAAATATTTAAATGAAAATATTTGTATAAAAAGATCATAGAAAATATATAATTTTACTATTTTTAATTTATATATTTTCTTTATAAAATTTAATTTCATAAAATGTATATAACTTTTTTTCAAAATTTAAAAGATAAATAGATTTAATGGAAGGGCTTGATTTTATTTTAACCCATGAACTTCATATAAAATTTTAATTATAGATTTTTTTGTAAATCTAAAACAATTTAAGGATAAATTTGCAATTTAATCTTCATAGAAAATATTTTTTATTCAATGACAAAAGAATAATATTTTTTGAAAAACAAATTAAGGGCATTTTAGTTCAAAACCATGGGAACTAAAAATACCTAGTAATTGGGAGAATGACATTCCCGGTAAAACATCCCAAAAATGCCACTGTTGGAAATGATTTATTACCCCATATTTGGAATCTTTGCAATCCAAACATGAGTATTACATTCTGAAAAAAAAAATCTCCCTGGTAATATTCTTTCCCCCCATCCAAACGCACCCTTAGTAATAAGATTACTAGAATGTAACATAACTATGAGAATATTGTATTATCTTGTTTGTTTTGTTTAGTAAGAATGTAAGATTATTGGAATGAAGGAATATAAGATTATTTGAATGTATATGTTATCAAATAATTCTTGTGATAAATGTTTTTTAAGTAAGTTAAAATTTAATATTAAATTATAAATATTTTAATGAAAATTCTTAGAAACATTTTAATTGTTATTGTATTTAACTTCAGAGAAAAAAATACATTTAGCATATAATTAGTATATCAAACTTATATTTTAAATAATTTTTATAAGTATCATATTTATTTTATATAAAATATAATATAATATGAAAAAATAATATTATGATATCGAGTGGACAAATATATTTCTTTTTAATAATTCAAAATTAGATATTATTTTAAATAATTATATATTAAATTTATTGATATTTTACTAAATCAAAATTTTTTGTATATTATTATTATGTTAATAATTTTGAGTAAAGCACGAAGAATAGATTTGAGAATGATCTATATGAAAAAAATTTATTATTCTAGAGGTTTTTTTGTTTAAAATAACAGGAATTATGTAATACTTAAAATTTTGCGATAATAACATTCCCACCATTTTAATCAAAAATTGTTTTTATTGGTAATAAGTTATTACATAGTAATTATCTTTTCTACAAATCAAACATGATAATGTAATTTCGAAAAAAATTATTATCATTGGCAATGATATTTTCTGTGAAACAAATGCCCTAAGGAGTTTTGTAAATGCAACTAATTGTTTATTTGATATGTACATTAATTAGGGGTGTGCAAAAATATTTGATTCTATCAATCTGACTTATTTTTCTGATGACTCAATCAAATTATTTTCAAATAATTCAGATCAAATATCTAATAAAAAATATCGGATAATCAGATCCGAGACAAATTAGAAAAATCTAGATTTCAAATTATTCGAAAAATATGGAACTTGGCCCGGTAGTGAAGACATTTTCAAGCCTTAAACCGTTATTTTGAATTCAACTGGTTAGAGAACGAGGGGCTATTATCATTATGGGTAAATTACATTGTTCCTCATTATACTTTACTCTCTCTCCTATTTTACTCACTGTACTTTTAACTTTTCTAATTTGCTTATTGAACTTTACAGATTGAATAATTTTTCTCACTCCCCTGTTATCTCTCTAACGTCATTAACAAAAAGACTGAAGATGCCATTATCGACCATTGTTGACCACCGTAAATGGTGGTCGTTCTGTCTCAAATTTCATGGGTCGTTTAACCTCGACACCGTAAGTCCGAATTCAACCTCTATCTGGTCAGAACTTGTTCTGAAGTCCATGATTTTGAGATTGAAAGTGAGGAAGCCGAAACATTTCAATCCAGATTCAAGGTGTTTCTGATATTTTTTTGGTGAAATAACCACAAGATCCGGGCTGAGGGGTCGAGATGAACCAACCCATGAAATTTGGGATCAAACAACCACCATCAACGACGGTGGACGGTGGCCATAATGAAAAATTGTGTGGTGGCCGGCGGCATTTCTTGTGCCATGTCATAATACCGTTAAACAGTTAACGACAGAATGAGCAAAATGATACAATCTGTAAAGTTCAGTGAGCAAATTAGAAAAATTGAAACTAAAGTGAGCAAAATAGGAGAGACAATATAAAGAGGAATAATGTAAATTACCCTATATTATTACCTTATTTTAAATTTATTGCTGCAAATCTTATTTATAAACCCATCAAAGGGGAAAATGAACCTTGTTTGTAGGAGATACATATTGTTTAAATATGCCCATTGACTTGATGAATTAGTAATTAACACTGCAGTGAAACGAAGGGTCCCCATGGATCAAATTATTTGTTCAAAATTTCATCTAATTTATAGAGCGGATAAGGAAATCTTATATGCTATAAGTTATTAATATTATATATTATTTTAATAATAAATATATGTGATTAATAATATGATATGTAATCTTATGGGTAAACTATATGGGTGACCACTCAACTATTGCCCCATTTCATTTTGACCACTGATGGTTCAATTTTTTTAATCAGACCATCTAACTATTTAAATTGTTCAATCAAGCCACCTGTCGAAAAATTTAACGGAGAGGATAACATGATAGTTAAATATTTTGGTATAATTACACATTTTCTCCCAGTTACTTATATATTCTATCAAGTTGGTCCTAATTTTTATAATTTAAAATAAATTTTACCCCTCAAATCAGTTGGTCTCATGTGACATTGATGACAAGTGTCATCATTCGATTGGAGAGTTAAATTTATTTTAATTCAATAGGTTTTTTTTTATTTTAGATATTATTTTTAAGGTGATATTTAGAGTATAAGAGATTAAATATTAAGATATTATATGGGATTAAATAATTTTTTATTCTTTATAATTTAAAGGGTAAATTACACAAATGGTCACTAATGGTTAAGCAAATTTTTATTTTTCCACTAAAGTTTCATAAGTAACTAATTTGTCACTAACATTATCAGTTTGTAACAAAATAGTCACTCTACCGTCATCTCCATTAAATTTACGATGTGACAACATTAACAAAAAGTGTAATATTCAGTTTTATCCCTAAACTACTACTAAAACATCAAATAGGTCTATGGACAGTGATTTATATCTAATTTATCCTAAAACATTCTAAATTCTACTTTTTCACATGTCCCAAAAACTACACAAAGAAAAGTACTAGAAAACTTGATAAATTTTATGCAAACTTTGTCTGGTTGTGCATATAATTTGTACAAGAATGGTAATGGACTGTTTCTAACCTCCTCAATTGCTTGTTGGTAGATTGTACAACAATGACAGAAGAGGGAAGATTGTCAATGCTTTGTCAACTTTAGCTCCTCTGATGAAAGAAATGGTTGCATAAGGTTGTTTGTTTTAGCCTTTTTTGTGATCCTATCGGGGAAGGTCTCCAAATAACGGGGAATGCAGTCCCTCAATTAAAAATTATTGAGTTTTCCAATGTTTTTCTTTGCGTAGTTTTTGGTACATAAGAAAAACGAGAAATTAGAAAGTTTTGGGGTAAATTAGATATAAAATCATTGTTTAATAACATATTTGATGTTTTAGCAGTAGTTTAAGAGTAAAATTAAATATTAACATTTTTATTAACGTTGCCGCGTCATCAATTTAACGGGGATAAAGGCAGAGTGAGTGTTTTGTTACGAATCGATAACGTTAGTGACCAGTTTGTTACTTTTGAAATTTCAGTGATAAAAATAAAAACTTACTCAAATATTAGTGACCATTTGTTTAGTTTACCCTAACTTAATTAAGTTTTATATAAAAAATATGAATTACTATATCAACAAATAAATATAAATAAATTTGTTAAAGATTAAATTTATTAGAAATTCTTCATACTTGAAAACTTTGATTCTTCATAGGTAATTTTTAATATAAACATAATTTATATTTCAATGGCAAATTTCAATCAAATGAGATTAAGTAAATATAAATTATATAAGAAAATTTTTAAAGGAATAATCTTTAACGTTTAAATATCATATTCATAAAAAATAAAGGCCAACAGTTCACTCATTCATATATAAACTAATATTAATAGCTTTTTCAATTTATGGAGCAAAATTCATAGTTTTATTTTTTAAAATTTTTAAAATGGTGAAATTGATAAAAAAAAAACGTTTTTCATTGTTATTTGTCATGTGGATAAATTGGTAAGAAGCATTTTTAAAAGCGTGTCCGACGTATTTTGCTTACGTGACATGAAAAAATATTAATACAGAAATTAAGTTGAAAAGAATATTATTTTATATATTAATTTACTTTAAAGTGATATTTGGATAAAATTTCGAAAATAGCAAACATGTAATAAGGGCTTGGAGCCTTGACCGGATGTAATTGTTTGAATCCAAATTTTACAAGAAAAATAATATTCTCTTTAATCATTAAAGTCGCTTAAGGGTTCTATTATAGATATGACTTGTTCTAATATAAATTTGAAACTTTGAATGAATATGAAAATATTAAAACTTAAACAATAGATAATTTAAAAAAATGTTTTGTTTATTAATCTATCTTTAATTTAAGTGCATATGAGGTATTTAAATTATGTGTAAGATTTAAAATATTATATTTAAATTTATAATTAAAGTACGTATTATGCAAATAATGTGTAACAAATAGTTAAAATATTTAAATAAGAAAATGAAATATTTTTTGAGTAAAATAAAAACTTTATTATAATTGATGAGTCTTTCTCGCCAGTGGCCTAGCATTGATGAGTGACCCATAATAGTCCGCTGTTGTCATTCACTTATTCATAATTTTTAGAGTTAATTGCATCCTCAAAGTATAACCTTCATTTTAAATTGGTCTTAAACTTTTAATTATTTCAATTTTATCTTCTAACTATGCCTATCATTTTAAATTAGTCTTCAAACTTTTGAATATTTTAATTTCATCCCCAAACTATGGCATTCATTCTAAATTAGTCCCCAAACTTTTTAAACATTCCAATTTAATTTCAAACTATATGTATATACTAATCACATCCCTTATTAATAAAATCGTTAGACAAAGTTATATTATTATATGTTTAAAAAAACAAAATTTAGGTTAAATTATGACTGAAACTAATTACATATTTGCGTGAATTTGGGGATGAAATTAGAATATTCAAAAGTTTGGGGACCAATGTAGAAAGAGGGTCATAGTTGAGGGATGAAATTAGAATGTTCAAAAGTTTAAGGACTAATTTAGAATGAGTCATAATTTGGGGATAAAATTGGAATATTCAAATAAGGACCAATTTAAAATGAGGGTTATAGTTTAGGGACTCATGATGCAATTAACTCTTTAAGAAAAAATCAAAAAATCAATAAAATAATTTAAAATTGCACTTTTGCGTCCTTAATTGTTTATTTGTTTTTATTTTTTGCTATATTGCTTTGTTCTCCCAACTTCCATTCCTAACTAACCGAATTGATGGATTTAACCATGGCTTCAGTAACCATACCAAGGAGAGTACCCTGGGCTGTAAGGGTAATTGTGTACTTTCGCCATTGCCCCATATCCTTGTACTCCATCCCTCCTGTATTGCTCCCACATCGCTTGCTCCTCCACCAAAAACCTCTGCTTCTTCTCCATGTCCGACATTTGCACGTACGACGGCGGCTCCAGGGCGAGAGACGCCGTGAACGGATCAGCAACGTCGGTTCCTATGTGTTTTGAGGACGGCGGTGCCGGCAAGGCAAGTGTCACCGGCCTCCCGACTGAACCAAATGCAACGCTGCTAGCACTTCCGGTGGTGGCATAACCCGGTGAAGCAATGGCCGCCATGTTGGCGCCCTGTTGGTACATGCTGTCGAGCAATAATAAGTCGAACCCACCACCGAGTGTCGCAGTCTGGTTCTTCAAGTTGCTTGCTGATTGAACCAAAGCTGATTCCCAATCAGTATCGTCCTTGAAAGCTTCCCATCCCGGACCCGAAGACGGGGCGGAAGCGGAGACCGGCGTTAAATAACCATCAAACAAAGCCAAAGCCAATCTGTCTCCGTAATCTTGACTCATTGAGTCGTCCCGGAGGTTCAATAAATCACCCATTTGTTCCACAACTAAAGCTTTGGAATTATCTACCTCCTCTTCTTTCTTGTGCTCGGGTTCTTCATCAACATGGTTAGGTTCTGGTAACGCTTTAATCTCTTTTTCATCTTCTTCTTCTTCTTCACTCGTTTCTGTTTCTTTACCTAACCCAAATTCATCCCTGAACATCTTTGTTTGTTCCAATGCAGATTTGTCAAGTATAAATTCGTCGATAATGTCGAGTTTGTTCTGGGTGATTTTCTGGATCACAGGATAATCAGAGGATCGAGCAATGCCTACGCTCTTGCACCATGAATGGAAATTTTCAAGCTCGACGAACTGTTTTCTTTCACGGCAGAATATATTATATATTTTTATGGAATAAGACATATCAAGCTCCATGAAACGATCGATTAAAACCCCTAATATCTCCGTTATATCGTAATATATCTGGAAACTTTCTTTCACTATCGGGTGAAGAGCCACGGTGACGACCCTGTTGCACTTCGCTGAACCTGTTTAAATCCAACACATCAATATATGCATATATGCATGTATGCATGTATATATGTGTATCATATATGCAAACCTATTGGACGACAGGATAAGAATCGATCGAGGAGCTGCTGCAAATGCAGCAACCTTGAAAACAGATGCTCGGTTTTCATCTCAGCAACTGGTACAGATCTTACAACAATGGCACCGTCATCGTTATCTTCTTGATCGTCTTCTGTAGATCCACACACGCTTCGTCTCCCACCAAACTTGCCTTCCATTACGTATTCCAGTCTCTCGTCGAGGTAGAGTGCGTAAGTCCTTACAAATGCAGTGAAATCCCATGAATCGAATTGGGAAGTGTCCCGGAAATCCGACATGTTGAGGATCCGAGTTCCGCGCCTCGTGGAGAGGAAAAACTCTTGCTGGTAGGCGGCGTCGCCGTCGGAGAGGAGGCGTTGGATGAGCATGAGGGTTTTGAGGGCCACCGTCCAGTTGCGGGTCTTGTTGAGGCGTTTAGAGAGGGTTTTGACACATGCACGGATGTGGGAACGTGAGTAGGAGGTTAAACTTAGGATTTCTCGAATATGTCTTTCCTCCGCCGGGTATTCTTCGTGTCTCGTGGCTTTGACAATGGCGACTGTCAGGTCGGAAATTGCGCTGCTGTTGCCGACTTTGGCCAGGCTTATGCTGGTTTGGTCTTTCACATGTCCGATAGCTCTTCTAATCTTGCTTGGGGCCATCGGGAATCTGTATTCCTTCCTTCTGCAACAATGTTAGAATATAAATGTAGAAATAAGTATATATATAAACGTCAACAATACTGATGGATTTAGAATTATTTCTTATAGTGGGCATATATATATATATTGATAATAGAATTTGTTTTGTATAAAGTATACATAATAAAATTTAAGGGCGAGCATCATCAATAAAATAAACAACAAACATAAATAAATTCGGATTTTAGGATGTGTACATACTTACTCTGAAGTATAATGCATACGCCACTAATCAAAAAATAAATTTTGAACATGAAATAGGCATAATTAAAATTTTAGGATGTGTATTGATAAAATGAATAAGTATATATATATCAACAACATAATTTTTTCACATGGAGTAATATAAATAAAATTTTAAGATGTGTACAACAAATCGAATAACCAACCGAAAGAAATTCTGATTCTTATTCATTCACCCTAGAACACAACTACGTTCCCGGTTGTTGGAATTTAATATCAAATCAAAATTAACGATGAGAATCATGGAAAAGATAAATAAATAATCTAAACTCACCTGTGGAAGTTTGATTTGAAAGGACGTCAAAGAAGTTCTTGAAAGGGAGTTGAATTTTCTTTTCCAGCAACAATCGTTTACAATAAGACGATTGTTGAAGGAAGAAAAGAAAGAGAGAAAGCCTACCAAGAGAAATGAGAATGTTTTTTCTTTTTGTATTGGTCTCCCTCTTCTCCTTAAAAACTTTACTCTCCTCCTTTCACCTTCCTTTTCTTTTTTTCCAAAAAAAAATCCTTTAGGTTAAAAATCATGTGTCAAACCAGCATTACCATTTATTTCCCCTATTATATTTAGCATGAAGAATAACTTTCAATGGGAGATATGAGGCCACGTTCAAATGGCAATAAAAAAAATAGAAAACGACTTATTTATCAAACCAGAAAAAAAGAATTTTTTTTCTAAAATCCATGTAAAATTAAAATTCGAGATTATTAAATTTAATTTTCACTTTTATTTCAACCACAATCTTTTAATTTAATTAAATCATTCAACTTTTATTATTAATAAATTAAATTATTTATATTAATACCGAATTATTTATACTATTAAATAAACATTAAAAGTATATTAATTAAAAGTCTCGATTTTTACTTTTCCTATTAGAATTATTTAACATTGTTAATATGAATGATTTATTTTACTATAAGAAAGGAGTAAGTATAATATATATTTAAAAATAACTCTATTACTTAACATTGTTAATATGAATGATTTATTTTACTATAAGAAAGGAGTAAGTATAATATATGTTTAAAAATAACTCTAAAACATTTAACGTTGAACGCTCATATCATTAGTATTCCTCCTGGTGCTCGAACCTAAGACCTCAATGAATGACAACAACTCTTTTATCATCGAGGTCGCTTAATTTGTGCAATAAATGTTATATAATGAAATTTCATTAAGGAATTGTTTGTTTCATAGAAAACAAATTCCGGAAAATGATTTCAATAAAATAAATTACATTTTCTACAAGAATTTTTAGAAATTATTTTGTAGTGTTTGGACTATGCTATGTAAAACAAACAAAAACTTTTTAACCTTAAAATATCAATACTTAATTACTAAAATTTTAAGATCCATCTAAGATACACCATCAATGAAATTAAACTTTACAAGCTAAGTTAAGAAACTACCACATGCCTCATTTATTTAATTATACACAATAGACGGCATCCTTTTAATTCTGCTTGCAGAGTCTAAAAATTCCATTGGCAATGTATCATATGGTTTTTTATTCAAAAACTAATAAAACAACACTAACAATATTACAACATCAGCTATGAAAGTCGTAAGATGGTCGGGAAAATGATCAAATGGGACATTGGAAAAAAATGGTTTGTATAGAGTGGAGTAAATATTTTCTGAGATGGGGTGAATGTTACAGTGCCGGGGAAGATGCCGAGAGCACAATGTGTCTTCCCTATATTTCATGCAATTGGAACGTCAAGATTAACAAAGTAACAAAATAGACGCATTGTAATCGCCGACAGAAAATGCATTGGGGACGCCACAAGAAGCATTGTGCTCCCAGTGTCTTCCTGATGACACTGTAGCAATAACCTCATCTCAGAATATATTTCCCCCACCATTCTATACGAGTCAATCTTTTATTCCAACGCCCCCATTTGATCAATTTTGCCTAAGATAGTCTGCAACTGATGAGGCAAGTCAAACTCAATCCCTCAAAACACAGGTTTCCAAGTTTGGCAACCCTCTGGTCACTGCTCCACCTAGTTTCCTTCTGGAAACTCCCAACGTCATTCCAACAGAGACTAATGTCTCAAGTGATCGTTCACTGTTAACTAAGAGGTCTGCATCTATCTCTATTGCATCCTGCATCCAATTAAAATGTGTTTGAAATGACTACTTCAATAAAAATGACTTCAATCAATGTTAAAAGTTGGGAGTTAGATAGAATAGACGTAGATTCAATGCGTTTTATCTCATTCATAACAGAAACTAGTAATGATAAAGAATCTGCAGAGGCATAATATAGCTTTGCAACCAACAAGTAACAGCATCTATGATACCAACCTTCTCAAAGACACAAATCACTGTGCTCCCTCCAAATGAAAAATATCCGAGCTACAGATCGAACAAGTGAATAGCTAATTAAAAGGGATGACATTATACAGAACAACAAATATGTGTGTGTTTACATGGGGTACTAACCTCATCTCCTTTTTTGCCAATGTCACCTTCCTTCTTCACAAAAGTAATGCTACCAACCATAGTTGCTCCAATCGCAACAAATGCCACCTGCATCGAAAGGGAGGAAAATCGTGTTCACATTTGGTGGAAAGAAATTCCTTACTGACAAAACGTTGTAGGAGAGTGAAGGATGAGATGGTCATCCACAGAAGGCAGGGGGCCATGGTCTTAAAAATATCAAGGATCTATGCCTCAATGTCATGCAGAACATTGAGAACCACACTAGTATTTAAAGAAAACATCAGGAAAAGAGTCATGTTCAATTAAAGCATAGAGACAAACCTTTCCAAATTCTGCAGTAGAAATAATGGTCACTGTTCGTTTATTCTCGGTGAAAACATTACAGTATTTGCTGTTGACAGCAATGGGATTAACCTAGGAAATGCAATAAGATGCAAACATGATTAATATTAATAATCAAGAGATCCTAAAGTACATTTATGCACTTACTGTGTACAAGCATCCAGGAATGTTTACAAACTTCCCAATGGCGCCAGAAACTGGAAGATGAAACCTATGATAGTCCTGTTCCAAGGGTAAAGGAGTCAAGAGTTTAATATTAATAAAATCAGATAAAAATTTAAGGTCACTTCATGTTACAATGGAAATAATGAAAGAGCTTGCATCACCTACCTGCGGGGCCAACCTGAATATCACCAAACTTCCATCAATAAAAGCATTTGGACTGACTTCTTTCCCCAGAAGACCTTGAATTGAAAACTTTCGACCCTAAAAATAGCCCATAAAAAATCAAAGCATGTTCCTAAGAAAGAGACTTTCTGAATAGAGGGACGAGGAAAATTAAATATTGGGAAAAAGAGAGAGAGAGGTGAACAAGAAGAATATAAAAAACACTTGGTAGGATAGTGTAAGAGGATTTGATAGTTGGCTTGGTTGCATTTGGGAGAAAGGAAGAGGTAATATTGTTGCGAGTGTCTCGACCTCTATCTAGAAATATAGAATCAAGAAAACTGAAATCTAGGAGATATTCCATGTGGAAGAGGTATAAATCATACCTTGATCCAAAACCGTAGACTATCTTGTACTGATTTAAAAGCCATCAACCGACAATCAGCAGCACACACTGCAACATCGTCACGCTCAATGGAAGCAATTGGTCTTGCTCCAGGTTTTAGCTCTCTCACAAAAAATTCATTAAATGTCTGAGACAATAATGTCAGTTTATTGTTGCCAATAATCAGCAAATGCCAGAAAGAAAGCAGAGAGACATTCCAGAAAAAATAAATCATGCATCCTAATGATAAAACCAAAATTAACTAGAACATAGAGCAGATTCGCAAGTTATGTGACAATTGTTTCAGTCCAGCTAAGGATGCATCCAAAGTAAAAAGATTCTAGCACGTCAACCATTAGAATTCAACTCATTGGCAGACTAATCCAGATCGGATACTAAAAAGACCCATTATGAGATGACCCTCCCAACCCTGTCCATTCACAATACCAATATTCAAACCTCCAACCTTACCTAAGGAACCTAGCGTCTCATCTCACTGCACCAACTGATAGTTCGTTTGACTAGGTAGCCTTTTGTTTAGTAATATTTTTGAAATTGGGGGGGGGACGGGGCACGGAAAATTTATTCATTAGGTTAGTAATTTTCATTTTTTTTTAAATTTGGAACTGCAATCCTGGTAATTAAGTGAAGTTCCTGATGGCAGACTTTTTATTCTTTCTACTTGAGTTTCTTCATAAACATTGTAAATTGAATGCCATAAAGAATTCACAGCACGGATGAGGAACATCTATGAATTCATAAGAGGTACCCCTGGCCTTTCTTACTTATCTATGCACTGAGCTTTAAGTCCACAAGGAGCAAGGGCTCAACAATGGTATGCAGTTTGGGGGGGGATTGCTTGAGTGCTAGGGAAGGAAATAGAACTATAGAAATTTAACTGTTAACCTCAAAAAGAAAGAAGAAAAAATATGGACCTTTACCTTAAAGTGCTCCATAGGATACTTGACTTCAGCCATATTGATTTGATCCTACAATACCATAATCCATAGTTAACTTATAATAAGCACACAAAAAGTCCAGGATTTTTAGCAAGTTTAGCCAATCCACTTCAAGGTAAAAAGTAAAACTATATCACTATCGTTAGCTATATGATATTATAAAATAAATCAGTAAAACCTCAAAAATCAAATAAGCCTATAAATTCCCCATATCATTACCTCAAAACTGTGGTTTTTATTAAGGATGTAAATCAGCCGATTCAAGCTCCACTCGACTTGAAAACTCACGAGCTTAAAATTGTCAAACTTGACGCGAACACGAAATAAAAAATTGAAGCTGCACTCTAAAGCTCGCAAGCTTAAAATTTTCAAGCTTGGCTCGAAATAAAAAAAAATAAAGCTCAACTCGAGCTAAAAAAAACTTGAACTCAAAATATTCTCAAACTTAGCTCGATTGAAGCTCGAACTTGAACCTCAAGTACATGAAAGTCTCATATTGTATTTTTTTCCAAAAAAAAACGAACATATAAATGTTAATATTATTAATAATTTAATTTAAAAAATCAAAAATTCAATATATCATTTTTTCGAGTTGCTCACAAGCTTTTCGAGTCAATATCAAGTAGCTCGTTTTGGCTCGTTAAGAATTCGAGTCGAGTCCATCCGATTCGAGAATTGATTGAGTTTTAACCAAATCGATGTTATGTAGCTCGCGATATGTCTCGTCTCATTTACGCCCTAGTTTCTATCATACCTTGAAAAATTCTATGAATTTTGGAATATCTTCTGCAGATTCGACGGAATTCATCTGTCTTCCTTGCCTCTCGGAGAGGCTTTGCAAGATTTCCTTTGCTCCTGCATCCAAATGATCCAACAAAAGATTATAGATTAGAGACATCAGCTTATGTTTCAGACAATGTTATCTCGATCATTAAAGACTGGAGATGAGTCAGAAGAAATCATCAGGCTGAAAAGGATACTTGCTGCTGAGTTTGAAATTAAAGACTTTGGCGCTCTCAGATACTTTCTACAGATGGAGGTTGCTCGATACAATGCAGGGATTGTAACATCTCAAAGAAAGTACATCTTAGATTTGCTAACCAAGACTGGTATACTTGGGTGTAAACCAGCAGAAACACCTATGGATCACAACCTAAAGTTAAAGAAGAATGAATAGGGGATACCACCAATTGATAAAGGACGGTATCAAAGAGTAGTCGTCAAGTTGATCCATCTACTGACAAAAGACCAGACATTAAATTCTCATTGAGTATTGTTGGCCACCATATAAATGATCTGCGTGAAGAACATTTAGAGGCTATAAATCGAATCCTTAAATACCTAAAGATGACACCAAATCATGATTTACTCTTTAAAAAGTGTGGCAGTGAGATAGAAGTTTACACTGATGCAAGTTGGGTTGCGTAATTAATTGAGAAAAGTTCAAGTGGCTATTGCTCCTCCTTTTGGGGCAATCTGAGGTTTCAAGTAGTGTAGAAGCAGAATTTTGAGCACTTACTTGAGAAATATGTGAAGGAATGCGAATTCAAAGATTAAAGACCATATCAAAATGCGAAGTGACAACCAATCCGACATAAGTATAGCTGAAAATCCAGTACACCATGAAAGAACCAAGCATGTGGAGATTGACAGACATTTCAGTTTAGAGATCAACAATGGGATAGTTCAACTAAGTTACATTACCACTCAACTACAACTTGCTGACATCATCACCAAAGCTCTCCCAAGAACCAACTTCGATGAATTCAAGTCCAAGCTCGGTTTGTGTAACATATGCACCCAACTTGAGGGGAGTATAGAAAGAAGCCGGTTTTAGAAGTCCTTTTTCTTTAATTTTGTTGTTTTATTACAAATCTGTTAGAAGTGACAACCAATCCGCAATAAGTATAGCTAAAAATCTAGTACACCATGATAGAACCAAGCATGTGGAGATTGACAGACATTTCATTTTAGAGATCAACAATGGGATAGTTCAACTAAGTTACATTACCACTCAACTACAACTTGCTAACATCATCACCAAAGCTCTCACAAGAACCAACTTCGATGAATTCAAGTCCAAGCTCGGTTTGTGTAACATATGCACCCAACTTGAGGGGAGTATAGAAAGAAGCCGGTTTTAGAAGTCCTTTTTCTTTAATTTTGTTGTTTTATTACAAATCTGTTAGAAGTCTTTTTATTTTAACTTTGATGTTTTTAGGATCAATTTTTTATATTAATCAAAACTTTCTTTCTTAGGAGCTAAGGGTCTTATAAAACAAGAAACCTCAAAGTTTAAGAACTCTAGTTTATGTAACACACGCAACCTATTTAAAAGCTGTTTTTTCCCCTCTTTTTAGTCCAACAGAAAAATTAGTGAAATACTCCATTTTCTCCGACATTAACAAAGATTAATGCTTACACTTGATTTGAATATGTGGCCCAAACAAGAACAAATTTCTAATCTCTCATTCTATCACAGGAAAACACATCCCAACTAATTATTTGTTATTAACTGTTTAGTTGAATTTCAACACCAATAGGCATAACATAAATGCACATGTAATATTTATAGGCATACCTTTATCCATAAGGCCAAGTCCTACTTTTGACTGGTAAATGGTTCTCATTGACAAAACAATCTTTGTATCGATTAGTTCTTCTACCAGCCTCTTCGTCTTTCGATCAAAGACCTAGAGCAACAAATGGTTAAAGAAAGATAACATGAAGACAAAAATCTTCTGGAAGTAATGATGTGAATCAAGAGCATCAAGAAACCAGGAAATTGTACCAAAATATGTGAAGCACTCGACCCAGAGTTCAAACCAACATCATATGATGAAAAACGAACCCACTCGCTTAGTTTGAACAGCCACCTACAAATTTACAATTTGAACCTAACAATTCAGCCTTGGTAATGAAGTTCAATGATTATACTAAGAAAATTCATGACAAAATTATTAAGCCGCAACGTTAGAGGATAAAATACACACCCATAAGAGGCTTGTTTCTCAGTTAAAAAACCTCCTGTCATGATCTGGTTACCAGTTCCTTCATCGAAACACAAAGACAAATGAACCAGAGTGTTCAGCTTATCACACTCGACAACGATCTCACCACAAACAGGGCAAGAATTCATAATCGGCTCTCTGCAATATGCAAAAAGATATGCAATATTTCATAACATGCTTCTAGAGAAATTTGCAAGATAAATACAAAAGTTAATATATTGGAAAAAGTACTAAGAAAGTCACCTCTCACTATATATGCTCACCAACAAGGGAAAAGTGAGCAGGATAAAATGCACTGGATTTTATTATTTCATTCTATTAAAATGAAGATTAGATGCAATTGTAGTTTTTCCACAACAAATCATATTTTCAACATACGTTGGTTGAGCTTTGACTATTAACAGGAAGTATAAACCTTAACCTATTAGAACTACCTTGGACCATATTAACATAGAAGCCTAGTTAAAGCTAAGGTTTAACTCAAACCAGGGTAGATTTAAAAATTTAATCAAAGTGGGAGCTTAGATTACAAAGGTGTTTAACGAGGCCTTGTGATCCTTTAATCATGAAGGGGGTTTTTAACTAGGCCTACCATTCCTATAAAAAAAAAGATTACAAAGGTGTTTCAAAAATCTAACCACCCCGACTAAAAATCCACCCAGAATGAAAAGATATCAAAATAAAATAAAATTGTAACATGTGAGATTGTGAACATCTTCATAACCAAGTAGCAAGGAAAAGTTATATGCAGATAGCAGAGTAAAGCTTTAAAATGGTAACCAGATGTCTTAACCTACAAGGATTCAATATCATGGGAAGGTAACATAGAAAAGGCTGAGAATGATTGTATTAATTTAAAGAATCTTTTCAAGGTTTTCTTCACATAACAGTGTACAGAATGTAAAGAACTTAAACCTCCTAACTGAATACAAGATATGAACAACACACTTTATAAAAAAAATGTAACAATAAATGAAAAATAGTTTATAATTCCAAAATAAAATCCTTCAACATCATCCTAATTTAAGGAGAATTTACGTTTCTTGTTGAACTGCAAGAAGTTCAGCCAATTCATCCATGCTCACAACACCGTCCCCATTTATATCAGCGGCTTTGAAAAGGTCCTCTTTCTACAAAACCAATGCAGAGATAAAGTAAAGAAAATGAATTTACATGCTAACTTAATCCTAAATTGTATCATCAAAGACTTGATGGCCTAACTAGAAGATTTTCTACATATAACTTAGGATGGAAAAACCACAGATGATATGAAGATGCAAATAATTACACACCACCTAAATGGGAGAAAAAAAAATGAAGCATGAGCATTTAATTATGTTTTTATTTCAGGTTTATTTATCAAGTATTAGATATATCATGGAAGGCTAAGATTATTAGTCATATTTACGGTTTAAATCTCTAGGGTTATTAGTTATTTATTAACTATTATATATACTTTTTTAGCTTTATTTGCAAGAAAGCTAAGAAACTTTACTTGCAAGAAAGAAAGCTATAAAAAAGTTGTAGGCTTTACAACCAATATTATTATTCCTATTATTTTCTTTAGATTGTTGGAGAAAAACTAGAGGCTTCTACAACCCTACATTTTCTACAATTCCATCTTTCTTGTTCGTTTGTTCAGCTCTAATTCTATTGATTCACTATTGTTTTCCCCTTCAAACCACATCAATTTTGGTATCAACGCCTAATTAGATAAGAGAGTATATAATATGGTTTGTTTTAAGCCATGGTTGGAAGTGTTAGTGGTAAAGAAAGAGAAAATCGAAGTAAAAAAAAGAATTGGTTGTGCTACAACGTGCAACTGTTAAAAAAAGGAATTGGTTGTGCTACAACATGCAACTGTTAAAAAAAGAATTGGTTGTGCCACAACATGCAACTGTTAAAAAAAAAGAATTGTTTGCGCTACAACATGCAACTGAAGAATTGTTGTGTCCAATTTACACTTGGTTGGGACAAGAATAGATGGAAACTCCAGAAGGTTACCACAACCAGTTTGACATACCAAAAGGTAGTATTGCTGATGAATTTGATTTAGGACATTCCATGATGTTAGCCCCATAAACCCTACAGTACGGGATGGATTGGAGGAACGATTAGTTCATACCCTTGAATTAAACAAGGGCGGAATTAATGTTAAAGTTTCTAATATTCTTGACAAAATGCATGTGGTGGAGTAAGATTATGATTTGTTAGATCCCAATTATGATAGTATCCTAACGAAGAAGTTGGTGTGTGTCTAGTAAAGGAAAGGACCTCAGTTGTTCATAGAATGAAAGCCATCACCTCAAAAGAAGGGAAGACTGGATACAAGTCGGAAACCCCATGGATATCTTGATGTACAATACCCAATTCTGATAGTATCGTGATGAAGAAGTTAATGTGTCTCTAGTCCGAAAACGTGACCGCAAACGCAATTTAAATCCCTGGAGTTAACACACAACAACAGAATGGGATAGTAGACAGGAAGAATAGACACTAGAGATAGCTATATCCCTTATGTTTTCCACTAGTATTTCTAAATAGTTTTTTGGAAGGAATCATTCGTACTGCTACTTACCTCATCAATAGAATACATAGTAGAGTGTTACAATTTAAAAGACCCCGTGATAGCCTTCTTCAAAAGTTTCCACATTTCAAGTCTTTTTTTTATCTCCCATTAAAGGTCTTTGACTGTTCAACCTTTGTTTATATTTGTCATCAATTTAGAACCAAGCTTAATCCTAAATTCATTATACAAATTTTTCTAGGGCTGGCTATTCTTCAACTAAGAATGGCTACAAATGTTACTCTCCACTTACCTAAAAGATGTATATTTCAATGGATGTTACCTTCTCTAAACATAAACCTTATTTCTCTAAGTATAAAATTCAGGGAGAGAATTCAAATGAATTTCATCTTTAGGACAGCCTCCAATATATTCAGTCCACATGCATTCCTTTCTACCCCAAAGAATTTAAGATTACCCGACAGATTCAATATCTTCACCAAAAATAAAAACCTTGCCTTCTCAAGTCAGAACTCCACTAAAAACTCAAACACCATCCAAAATTCAACTTGAAAATCAAGAACTTCATGTCTATACAAGGAGGGAGCATCCTAATGAGAATCTAGAAGATGTTACACAACTCAAAACATGTCAGAAACTGGAATTGGCTCCTTCTACCTTAAAAATTGACACAGCTACGGAACCTTCACATAGTGAAACTACTGATCCTTTTATTGACAATTTTTAACTGCCTATTGCTCAGAGAAAAGGAGTTAGAAAGTGCACAAGTCATCTTATTTAAAGGTATATTGACTATAAGGAACTAATGTTATCGTTTAAAGCATTTACTATGTCACTCAACAAAATTCATATTCCAAAGACAATACTAGAAGAAATGAAAAGCTCAGAATGGAAGAGAGCTATTAAAGAAGAAATCAAGGCTCTAGAAAACCATGAAACATGGGTCTTTACTGAACTACCTCCAAGAAAGTGAACATTCAGCTACAAATGGATATTTACAATCAAATATAATTTTCATGGAAGTGTTGAAAGATTCAAGGTTGGTGGAAAAAGGATTTACTCAGGGGTTGTTTGTTTGGCTCTGAATGGAACCATTCAGCGCTGAATGTTGAACCGTTCAGCATTCAGACTGCTTGTTTCTCACCTCTGAATGATTCAGTGCTGACTGATTCAGAAAAACAATGTTGAATGATTCAGCACAGAAGTACATTCTGAATGATTCAGAGCCATTACCAAACAACATGTCACATTCAGAGCTAATTCACACAAAGACTCTGAATCATCTAGCATTTGAATCATTCAGCGCTTAATAATTCTAAAGTAAACAAACAATCCCTCAATCTTATGGAATTGATTACTAAAAGACTTTTGCACAAGTTACTAAGTTAAACACTGTTAGAATATTGTTGTCATTGGTAGTAAATGAAATTGGCCCCTCTTTCAATTAGACATCAAAAGTGCTTTCCTAAATGGAAATCTTCCAGATGTCTACATGGACATTCCTCAGGCTTCGAAAATTTCTCTAAAGACCACAGGGTATGCAAATTGAAGAAGTCACCGTATGGCTTCAAACAATCACCTAGATAATTGTTTGATAGATTTACCGAGGAAATGGTCAAATATGGACACAATCAATGCCAATCTGATTACACCTTGTTTTTGAAGATTTCTCCAGAAAAGAAGAAGACTATACTCATAGGCTATGTGGGTGGATGATATAATCATAACACGTGATGACACTAAAGAAATCAACAAATTGAATGATCTACTTGTTTATGAGTTTAAAACTAAAGACATCGGCTCACTTAAATATTTTCTCGGAATGGAGATTGTAAGATAAAAAACTACAAGTGTGGTCTCTCAAAGAAAATACGTATTGGATTTACTTACTGAAATGGGCATGCTTAGATGCAAACCAATCGAGACACCTACGGATCCTAACTTGAAATTAAGAAAAGATGAAATGGGGATACCAGTGAACAAAGATGAATACCAAGGATGGTTGGAAAATTAAACTATTTATCCCTCACCAGACCATATATTACCTTTTTAGTGGACATAGACCCTAGAGAAAAGAACCTTGAAGTAGTTAATAGAATCTTGAGATACGTCAAAGTGACTCCTAGTCATGGTTTAATTTTCAGAAAGAGTGAGAACCATAAGGTAGAAATTTTCACTGATGCAAGCTAGGTTGGAGAATTGACTGATAGAAGATCTACAAGTGGTTATTGCTTTTTTTTGTTAGGGGAAATTTGGTTACATGGGTAGCAAGAAACAATCAGTAATTTCAAGTAGGGCCGAAGCTTAATTTCGAGCACTTGCACTAGGAATTTGCGAAGGAATGTGGGTAAAAAGATTATTGAAAAAGTTAAAGTTGGGCTTCAATGCACAAAATGATAGTCAATCCACCATGAGCATTGCCAAGAACCATGTTCATCATAACATAACCAAACATATGGAGATTGACAAACGCTTCATTTCAGAGGTCAATAATGGTTATGTTGAACTAAACTATGTTCCTACTCAAATGCAACTTTTTTATGTCCTCGCCAAAGCTCTTTCGAGAGTTAACTTGGATGAACTGATATCCAAGTTGGGATTTTACAATATATACTCTCCAACTTGAGGGGCGTGTAGATTATAGCCGTGTAAAATCCTAATGAGTTTGGAATTAGTGTCCTAATGAGTCAGTAATTAAGTTTTATTTATTATTTAACTTGTACTCTATATTTTATCTAAGTATAAGATTAGATAGAATGTTGACTAGATAAGTTAACTCCTAATGTGGCTCTAAGTTAGTATCTTAGAGTACGATTGTATTTCTTTTGTAATTTGCCTATTTTAATAGGCCTTACCCTGTGTATTCAAGAGCAAGAAAAATTAGAGACCAAACTTCTTTGTTTTAGAAATTCCTTCCTTTATTTCCTAGTTTCTACATTCAGCTTAACTAAGAGACATCATGCAGTTTGGTAGCAGCAATACTGCAGTACTTTTCAAGAAGAGAGTTGCTGGATTTGAGAGCTTCATGACAAACTGCTTTGTTTGACAAATGAAAAGCGAAAACGGTTATTTATTCTGAAGTGGTGAGATTTTTTTGTTGAAGTTGATTTTCCAATCCAGGGAAAATGAAGAAGGAACTTTTAATTATTTTATTATTTCAGTTTTACTTATCAAGTATTAGATATATCATGGACAGCAAGTGTTATTACTTATTAGTTATCTTTAGGATTTAAATATTCAGGGTTAGTAATTATATATTAAGTATTTGATAGATTATTTTATTATTTTTACTTATAGTTGCAAGAAAGCTTAGAAATTTTACTTTTAAGAAGGAAAACCTATATAATAAAGTTGTAGTCTTTACATCCAAAATAATTATTCTTATTATTTTATGTGGATTAATGGGGGGAAAACTAGAGGTTTGTATAACCATGCATTTTCTAAAGTTCCATCTTCTTTCTTGTTCTTTTGATCAGGCCCTAACTCTATCGATTCACTACTATTCCCCCCTTTAAACCACATGAAAAATGAAAATGGAAGTAGGAGCAGATAAGAAATTTGAAACAATGAGAGCAGACAAATTTATTGAAGAGCAAATTGTAAATTGTATCATATGGATTTAGGAAGGGAAAGTTTCATAGAGAACAATCAGATGCAAATAAACCACATCAGCTCAAACCTTGCTAGCTGCCACTTTATTGCCAAAAGCATTAATTAACTCAGAGAACTCCGAGAATGAAAGCTTTCCATCTTCATCATAGTCCTGAATACATAATCATATATAATGACAGCTTTAATACATGAACTAGAAAGTTGCATGAAAAGTCCACAAGATCATGTCATAAGAACAAGATGACAATCTATCGCCAAAAGCATTAATTAATTCAGAAAACACAAAGAATGAAAGCTTTCGATCTTCATCATAGTCCAGAATACATAATCACATATAACAACAGGGTTTTAATATATGAACTAGAAAGTTGAATGAAAAGTCCAAGATCTTTTCATAAGAACTAAAGCAATATCTCCAAAATTTTTAAATCATAGACACGATAGGAAAACAAACCATTCTCATTAGAGTTCAGAGTTATGTTAGAACTTCAGAGCAAACTGACATGCAACCTTCAGAATTTTGTTTTATTGTTTTAAAAGAAATGTCTAGCGACAGTTTTACCAGTTGACCTTTGCAAAGACAATGACTTATATGCTTACCATGATTAGAACAAGCAGGAGATTTACAGGAAATGGAAAAAAGAGAAAACAAGAAAAAACTAAAGTTAAGGCTGTTAAAAGTGCCACACTTGAATAAAGTCCTATGATTAGTGGCACTTCCTTTTTCCCATTTTCACCCTAAGCTACTGATCTTGCAAACAAAATAGATCTAAAAATGAAAACCTAAGCAAATGTATAGCATAACTTACGCACAACTAAGTACACTACATCACATTCATGTTTGTTCCTAACATATACTTATGCTGTAGTAATTTCTCAGACACACAATTCAATAAATAAGAGAAAAAAGTCAATGACTACATCAAGACCTAATTTTCCCCGGCAAAATGTATAAGCAAATAAAATGTGGGACTAAAACAGATCATTAAATACAACTTACCACAATCGATAAGATTCGTCTTGCAAACTTTTTCTCTGTTTCAATTGGATCCTGACAGTTTTTCCAACTAAATGTTAGAAATAATCAGCATATTTCCAATAAACTTACACAATTATTTGTTACATACTGCACACCTCAACATTGCAGGAAATGCAAACACTGCCAACAACCATGTTTGATAATCCAGGATCAATCAGGTTGAATGTACCGAAGTCAGAATCTGAATCCTGAAATAAGAGTCTTATGAATGAAGTTATCCTGAATAGCATATACAATAATGATGTTCAATGGGAAAGACTACTCACCTGCGTTAGATAGTCAAGTAGATTGATCTCACAGTACCCTATGAGATTACTTTTTGACAATCTGTTCATCTGCACCAAATGGGCATAATGAGAAATTAAGCACAAGATATGAAAAATGAAAATGAAGCTCAGTAAAAATAAATGAAGATCCTCTTTCAGCTTTTTGCACACACCTCAAATACTGAGATTCTGGCAAGACGAGGTCCATTTTTCTCCAAAAGAAGTTTCCTTTCCTGTCAAGAGATGATGTTAACTGAAACAAGCATCGAGTACAAAACTGGGAACATCAATTTCATGTTACAACATTTATAAAATGGATTAGCAGCTTTGAGCAGAAAATATAAACTGAAGGCCAAACATTTTCATTTTAATAAAATGAAGAACCAATCTAGCACCCTTTTAAGTGATTAAATTTAGCAAATTAGTAATAAAAAGAAAAGGAAAAACGATTATCAAATAGTGAATATCTGTAGTTCATTCCACTAAAATCTGCATAATTGATAGATCAAATAACTGGATTTGCCTCTCTTTTTTTCATTTTCAAAATGCTGAGTATCCATCAGTAGAGATTCAGTTCCTTGCTGACAACTACCACGACATATAACCGGTATAAAATCTTCCACATGCTCACTCTCATGCAACTCAAACCGAGTATAATATTTCACATTGCACCAAAAATTTAACAAATTGGCACTAAATCAATAGACTATTCAAATCAAATAAGTTTGCTAGTAGTTCAAAATCAAAAGCCTATAGTTCGGAGTACTCACACAATTCCAGATAGGCTCGTCTGTTCTGCATCATCAGAAAAAAAGAAATATAAATTTTAACACGGATAAAACTTGAAATAAAAGTCAAAGCCCTAAAAATGTAAGAACGTTTATAATCAAAGCTATCTGCAGCAGACTGAAAGGAAACTAGTTTCGTCAAAAAGTAATCCAAAATTAAAAAACATAAGCACTACATTAATGACTAACAGCAAATTGGACCAAAACACCAAGTAAGAATTTAAAGTAAAAAAAATAACTATTTTTGAGCAGGAAATAAGAATGATTTTACTATGCTTAACTCATTAGAAACATTTGTTCTAAACGTTTGCTCCCCAAACGAAATACATGCCAGCCACTTGTCCTTAAACTTCATCTCCGCCTATGATCAAAGAGAAAGAGAGAATTAAATTGAAGAAACTAGCAATAACGAGTAAAGTAAGGAGACGGTGAATCAAGAATACGTTAATAAGAGTAAGATGAGCAATGCCAGCGAAATCCTCAGCAGCCAGGAGTTTGTTCTGAGAATATGAAGAACCGCGTCTACGGCGGAGACGAAGGCGGTGACGATGCAATCTCTCCTTCAAACGAGAGATGTGAGAGGGCGAGGATTTAGCGTCCGCATCATCATCGGAATAAGAGCCGCTGCCGCCGTCCTTTGAGCTCCCGTGTCCCATACTCTCTCAACTCTATCAGCTCTTTTTCTTCCTTTTCCTTTCCTCCGAGGTTCTTTTTGAGGAGAATTATCGGATCGGATCGGACCGTTGAATATTCAGTGTCCACAGAAAGTTGAGAAGTCAGATATTCGTAGTTGATGCCTTACCCAGTGGAAAGCACTATTAAACGAAACTTCGTCGTTTAACGGTGTTAGTGGATTTGGCGATTACTTTAAATCAGGTACCTACTTGTCTTTTTCTTGAATCGGGCATTGGTACAACAGCACGCCTAAGTCAAACAGTCTCTTTTCGCCTAAAATATAGGGTAAAATACACAAATGATCCTTCGCTGATTTATTCAACTATTAAAAATTATAAAATGATCTTTTAATTTATGTAATATTATTTTTTTAGTCTTTAAACTATTAAAAGTTATAAAATAGTCACTTGTTTATTCATACTGTAATACCCTAAATATCAGGTCAGTGATTTTATTGAAAAGATTTAAAATTTGAGGATTAAATTGAATAAATGATAAAGGATAAGAAATGATTTAGAAATAGTGTTTAAGACCAATTAGTAACAATGGAAGAATAAAGAGGACATTTTAGTCATTTAAGGGGAAATGAATTTAAAATCAAATTTTAAATTAGAGATTTAAGAAGGGGAAAAAGGGCAAAGTGAAAGCTAAAATAGTTATCTCTTTTTCTTTCGTCAAAGGTAAGGTTCATTTATGATAAGGAAGCGGTGGCGGGTTAATGAACATTGCTCTTGTTGAAGAATCAAACCTAGAAAGCTCTAGACTCGATTAAGAACAAAGGGGATGAATAGAGAAAGGTGGCGGCAGTAACTAGGATTCTTTAGGGTTTCTTCAAGGCAATAAGATTAGAACAAAATAAACAAAAGATAAAGAAATTGAAAATAAAATAAGATAAGATGATAAAGAAATCAAAAGATCTCCCTTACGAAGGTGGACGGTAAAGATGATTTATGGTGCAGATGGATTTGTGGAAAAATAGATGGATAAGTGTCCTATCGAACCCTCCTAGTCGTACTGAAAAGACAAACTCGATAAATGGCTCTAACCAACCCTCCTAGTCGCGATGAAAAGGAAAATTGGAGTGTGAAGATTAATCTCCCTCACAAGAACTTGAAAGAACTCCAGGAGAAGAAGCTTCGAAGGCACAAGGCAATCAGCACTTGCAAAAACGAACTCTCGTTGTATTATTGATCAAAGAAATCTGATTTACAAAGTTGAATGAAGCCTCCTTTATATAGGGGCTAAATTCTAAAGGTCCTAAATAACTAAAGAATAAAATATTAATAAACTAAACATGTTTTAACTCTAATTCCTAATAAAATAATAATAACTAAAAATATTGTTTTAACCCAACCTTAATTCCTAATAAAATAATAATTCTGACCCTAAAAGATAATTAATCATCCTATATTAAATTATATTACAAATAATCAATATAAATATTGAAAATTCGTAATATTTACAAAATAACGTATTAATCTCGTATAGGATTTCCTACATGCACCGTCTTCAGTAAAATGGTCATATCTTGAGTTCCCGATATCGGATTGATGTGATTCAAGAACCGTTGGAAAGATAAGAGATAGACGGTTGTATCTCCAGAAGACATATCGACCGGATAACAAATGGATCCCCTTCAAAAAGTTGTTGCAAATCTGCTGCTATTAGACCCTTAAGGATGAATGCTTGAACTGCGATTTGAAGCTTGTCTTTAAGAAGTTTTGTCCGACCTCATGTGATATGGCCAATTGGTATAGTAAATTCATCATCCTTAGCTTTAGGGCGTGTGGTGCATGTATCATCTCCCCCTTCCTTAAAAGGATTCATCCACGAATCTGAATTATCAAAAGGAGATAAGTCAGAAACATTAAAGGATGCACTCACGTTATACTCACCGGGAAGATCAATGCGGTAGGCGTTGTCATTGATTCGTTCAAGGACTTGGAATGGGCCATCGCCTCGTGGGTCTAGCTTGGATTTCATTTGTGTCGGGAACCTTTCTTTTCTCATGTGAACCCATACCCAATCTCCTGGTTCAAAGGTGACATGTCGTCGGCCCTTGTTAACTCGGTTTGTGATTGCCTCGTAGGTTTTCTCCATCTTGAGTTTGGCTTTGGCGTGAATGTCTTTGACAAGGGCAGCCTTCTTTTCACCATCTAAACTGACAACCTGATCTAAAGGTAAGGGAGTAAGATTCAAAGTAGTTAATGGGTTAAAATCATAAACTATTTCGAATGGAGAATAACCTGTTGTGGAGTGAATGGATCGATTATAAGCAAACTCAACAAAAAATAAACATTCTTCCCAATTACGGGTATTCTTACCTACCACAGTTCTTAGCAAAGATCCTAGAATCTGATTTATTACTTCGGTTTGTCCATCGATTTGAGGATGACAAGAAGTGGAATAGAGAAGTTTTGTGCTAATCTTACCCCACAATACCTTACAAAAGTGGCTTATAAACTTAGTGTCACGATCGGACACAATGGTGCGAGGAATGCCATGAAGGCGGACTATTTCTCGAAAGAATAAATCAACAATATGTGTGGCATCGTCCGTTTTATGGCAAGGAATGAAGTGTGCCATCTTTGAGAATCTGTCCACAACCATAAAAATACTATCTCGTCCTTTCTTAGTGCGGGGTAAACCAAGTATAAAATCCATCGATAAATCGATCCAAGGAGAAGAATAAATTGGTAAAGGCGTGTACAAACCATTAGGATTTACCTTTGACTTTGCTTGTTTGCACGTGATGCATGATGCACAAATCTTTTCGGCCAAAAGAAGTGTTCCATGACCATATCAAGTATTTTATGAATACCGAAGTGTCCCATAAGTCCTCCGGCATGTGACTCGTGAACCAAGAACTCTCGCAAAGAGCCTTGTGGTATACACAACCTGTTCATGCGAAAAAGAAAGCCATCTACAAGATAAAACTTGTTAAAAGCACCTTTTACACATTGTTTATAAATCTCAGAAAAATCTGGATCGTTAGGATAAAGTTCTTTGATATGTGCAAAACCCAGAACAATAGCATGCATTCGAGTGATAAGTGTGTATCGTCGAGATAATGCATCAGCTACAATGTTATCTTTCCCTTGTTTGTATTTGATGATCTAAGGAAAAGATTCAATGAACTCAACCCATCGAGCATGTCGTTTGTTTAACTTACCTTGTCCATTTAACCATTTGAGTGATTCATGGTCCGTGTGAATGAAAAACTCTTTAGGGAGAAGATAATGTTGCCACACCTCGAGTGCTCAGACGAGTGCAAGAAGTTCCTTGTCGTAGGTAGAGTAGTTCAATTGTGCATATTTTAACTTTTCACTAAAGTAAGCGATAGGTTATCTTTCTTGCATGACGACGGCACCAATGCCTATGCCTGAAGCATCAAATTCTAGCTCAAAGGTGTTAGAAAAATTGGGAAGACGAAGAATAGGGGCAGAACATAACTTATCTATAAGAAGTTCAAAAGCTTTTTGTTGTAGTGGTCCCCATTTGAATTCAATTGACTTTTTGATGATCTCGGTTAATGGTGCAGCAATGGTTGAGAAATCTTTGACAAAGCGACGGTAGAAACTTGCCAAACCATGAAAAGATCTTACCTCGGTGATGGAAGTAGGCGTGGGCCATTATTGAATTGCCTTGACCTTCTCTTTATCTACATGAATACCCTGTACACTAACTATAAAGCCTAAAAACATAAGCTTATCACTGCAAAACACACACTTATCCATGTTAGCATATAAATATTCTCGTCGAAGAACTTCGAGAACCATTCGAACATGAATGACATGAGAATCAAGAGAAGATGAGTATATAAGAATGTCATCAAAGTAAACGACAACAAATTTACCTATAAACTCCTTAAGAATGTGATTCATTAATCTCATGAAGGTTCTTGGAGCGTTTGTGAGTCCAAAGGGCATAACAAGCCATTCATACAAGCCAAACTTTGTCTTGAATGTTGTTTTCCATTCGTCACCTTCTTTCATTTGAATTTGATGGTAACCACTCTTCAAGTCAATTTTGGTGAAGATACTTGCACCATGTAGTTCATCCAACATATCATCTAGGCGTGGAATAGGATGCCTATACTTGATTGTTATCCGATTGATAGGTCGACAATCTACACACATTCGGGATGTGCCATCTTTCTTTGGAACTAGAATGACAGGAACTGCACAAGGACTAAGACTCTCACGGATGTGTCCTTTTTGTAATAATGAATCTATTTGTCATTCCAATTCCTTTATTTCCTCAGGATTGCATTGGTAAGCGGGGCGATTTGGTATGGTTGATCCAGGGATGAAGTCGATTTGATGTTCGATTCCTCTTGTAGGTGGTAAACCATCCGGTGGGTTGCTTAAGACATCTTGAAACTCCTGTATAGAGAAGAAAACACACTAGGCAAATATGTGATGTTTTGAGACACTCGCATAAATGTTTTGAGACACTCTTTTATTTTTACATTGAGGTTCACTCACCACCCGTGGGTTATTTGTTTGGCTTTTATCGGTTGTGACCTCTTTTGCCTTTTGTTTCAAATTCCCTGTTTCCTTGAGAATTCGTTGTTGATCTATGAGAATCTCTTTGGGGGGTAGGGGGTTAAGTCGGAACGGTTTACCTTTTATTGGAATTGTGTAAGTGTTCTTTCGACCATAATATATGACGTCGTTGTCGTATTGCGAAGGCCATCCTAGGAGAATGTGGGATGCTTGCATCATAATTACATCACACCATACGTCATCACAATACTTTCCCATCTTGATATTAATGAGGCATTGTTTAACCACCTTTATCTCGGCACTCTCATTAAGCCATCGTAAGCAATAAGGTTTCGGATGTCGTTGGCAATGAAGTTTGAGTGATTCAACAACGTTGGAGCTAATGACGTTGACACAACTACCATTGTCAATGATGATGGAGAATGGTTGTTCCTTGATTAGGCAGCGTGTGTGGAAGATATTGGAACGTTGTATGTCAGACTCGTCTGATGCTTGGATGTTCAATGTATGACGGATCACCAAGATTGTGCCATTGTACTCATCGCTTCCATAGTCATCATTATCTTCTTTGGCTT